AAAATATATAGTAACCAATGAATGAACCTCGTCTCCAGCACGATATGCGGAAGTGGGAGAAGTTGAACAAACGGATTCTGTGAACGATTTCACCGGTTAACCCGTGCAGCCTCTCTCCCGACTCGTAGAGGCGCGGGAAACAACTCGCGAACTGCGTGGCTCACTTTCCGTGAAAGGTCAGTGCCACGGGCGCGGAACGGTCGGCGGGGAACGCGGGACAGGGAGGTCAGGAACCGGTGAAGGGGGAGGGGTCCGAAGAGCCCGTTCTTCGTCTTCATCTCGATGCGCCGTTCACATGTCGTTGCTGATTCCACATACGACGTCACAGGTGTCCCCCGCCCCGTCTCTTCTATACCGAGAAAAGAGAGGAACCCGCGCGTCGACGATGACGTGTTTGGTGTGTGACGGCGGTGGAGGAGAAGCGGCCCGGGCCGCGACGGGTCGGGCTTTTGGGCAGGGCTCCCCCCTCGCTCTCCCTTCTTCCCCGCTCTCCTTTCTCCTCTCGTCGTCTTCGTCGCCGTGGTCGTCGCCGTGCTCGTCGTAGATAATAAGCTCGGTGAAGGAGAGGGAGTGGAGTAGTGGTGGTGGTGGGTGCAAAGACGCGGACGAGACCACACGAGCCGGCCCGAGTCCGAGTCCGTCAGTCCGTTGGGAGAGCGCGAGCGGCGAGGACGTGTTTGCGTGAGAGTGAGACAAGAGACACAAGAGTGTTGTGTGTGTTTTGTGTGTGCCGCCGACTGGGAGTGAAGAAGAGGCGTCCCCCTTTCTTACTGCTGGATACGACAGACGTCAGAGGTGAGTACTGTACCGTAAGTCAAACATGACAGCCGCGGGGGCCAAAGCTGTACGGACGGTCCGACCACGACGTGCGACGCTTACTTGGCACTCTCTCGTTCCAACCCCCGCCAACTCAATGTTAAAGCTTTGTCTGTTATCTCCGCGCGGCTTCCCGTACTGCCACCTTTTGGATAGCGAAATTCCCAACTTTTGTCCCGCACTCCGAAACGAAATTTCCCGCAGGAATTCCGAAGTGAAAATATTTACTGGCCTCCGGGCGGAGTCGACCCCACGACCACCAGGCCCGGGCCCCGCTCGGTACCGCGGCACTGCCAAAGTGTTGTCGTTTCTTGATCGGAGCCGAGGAATCAGTTTCTGCTCAGATCGGCTGCTTTCAAGTATGCCAACGATTAAACGCAAAAAGGGCCGGAAATGGCATCCGATTATCTATTATCGTTGCATTTCTGACCTTTGCTAACACATGGAATATGTTATTCCACACACGCGTCATCTGTTGGAGTGCTAATCTAGCAGTTTGAAACTAGCCCATCACGTCAACCGACCCGACAAATTTTTATGCTAAAAACTGGCAGTACGGGAGGCCGCGCCAGGTGAGGGGGGGTCGGGGAGGACGAGGTAGCAAGCGGCCGGAAACGCCTATTAGAGTTGACAGGGGTTGTCTCGTTCTGTGGAGAGAGACAAATAACAACTACGATTCTCCGTGTGTCGCCGTTTTTGCCACTCGTGCGGCTCTTGCGAGCACGTCGCCTGCTTTCCGGATTAGCTCGCCCGGCAAACCCGGCTATACTTGCTGGACTTGCTCTCTCCTGTCTCTCTGTCTCCCTGGCGACCTGGATGATGCTGCCACTACTGCTGCTGCTGCCGCCGCTGTAACTGGAAACCAAAGTTCCGCGGCGTGCCAACTTTTGGCAGAATTCGACGGGAATACTTTGGAAAAGGAGTGTTGAAACCGGCCGCGAGTCGCAATATCGAGTTACAGAGGGCGGTCTCTTGGTCTACCCCCCTGGAGGCCGACCTGGAGGCGAGGCGCCGCGCCGCGGGGCAGGGCCTGGAACAGCCTGGAACGAGGAGGCCTCATCAAGGAATATTTGAAACCCAAAGCCAAGCGAGGGGGTAAGGTAAAGGGGGGGGGGGGCTGCTGAGGGAGAGAGCCGCAGTGCCTCGTCGCCGTGAAAGAAAAGCGGAGGGTGCTGACTACGAACGCGCAAAACGCGGAGGACGCGAATTATTTGTAAATGAACCTGCTTACCGGGCGAGCGTGTTGGTCGGGCTAATCGGCACATTCTGAGTAGGGTTGTGTCGGTGTTTTGTTTTGTGTGTGTTTCGTTTTGTTTTAAACAGCGCCGCTACGAAGCGCGCGCCCTGAGCCTGAGGTAGTACGGGCCGGCTCGCATTGGCATTCCCTGGGTGCAGCGCGACGAGAGCGCGCCAAGGGCAGCTAGCTTGGGCCAGGCCCGCCCCGCCCCGCCCTGTGACGACGACGAGGCTCGTTCGGAAAGCAGCATCCTCGGCAGCACCCCGCACCCGGTGTCCGCTGTCTCCTTCGCACCCGCTGGTGCGGAGCTGCTGCCGAGGGGGATGGAAAAGGGGAAGGAAGGGGAGAGAAAAGGGCGCATACTACAGCTTTCCCCCCACGGCGGCGGCAGGTCCCGAGCGAACAGCGGCAGCAGCAGCAGCAGCCGGGAGGGTTGCCATTCTCGAGTCGGTCGTGTGCCTCGGAAAGTTTCCCTTTCAGGAGGAGGTGATTGGCATCCCTGTGCTCATCGGCCATCTGTCAGCAGATGGGCGGAGCTGCTGCTGCAGCAGATGCGGGGGCTGCCTCCGCGCCACTTCGGCTGCCACGCGCTGTGTCGTGGAGCACGACGCGAGGTCCCCTCCCTTTTATATTTTCGCGCCTTATGCGCCCAGCGTGGACGAGCCCTATTAGTTTAGCTAGGCACCCCTGTTCTGAGGCTAGTTCGATGGCTGGCGAGTGCATCTCGGGGAGGGCTGATAAGGCCAGGGCGGCTCTGCAGCCCTGGGCCGAGCCGGTCTCTCCCGGGGCGCTGTATCGTCAGTCGTCGGCAAGCTCCAGCCTGGGTCAGATCACCGTTTGCTCCGTATCACAGCCAAGGTAGGCCTACTCATCTGTACAGAGTGTCTGTGTGAACCGATAGGGCAAGCTCGTAATAAACCTGTGGTACCATACTCATCTCTATAATTCCACACTGAACCACCATATTCCTTAAAGTTACTGAGGTAGATTGGGCTACCAAAACAATACGGAGCAAACGGTGATCTGACCCAGGCTGGAGCTTGCCTCGCCAGTGCTGGCCCACCGGTGTGTTCCGTTGGGAGCGTGTCGTGCTGCATACGCACAATTGTATATATTTTTTTTCTTTCCTTCTTCGGTGAGACGTCACCATTTTCTGTAAATAGTTCCTTTTTCTTTGCGTTCCTCGTACAATCGGATTTATTAGTATAATTCAATTTTCTGTGTGTAATTTTTTTATCCATCTGTTCTATTAGTTGCCAATTGCTGTTTATTTTGATTCCCGTTAGAAGTTTTGCACTGAGGGTATATCTATATCAGTTCTTTTTTTTTTAGTCTTATGTCAGTTTTACTTTCACAATCTTTTAGTTAACCTAAATATTCATTTCTATATGTTGTTTTTTTTCTCGTTTTTTTTCAAGTGTGTTCATTCAGTAACATCTCTGTGTAGCTTTCTAGTTAATTTTATTTCCCTGCTTTGATTACATTTTAGTTCTGCTATTTGTTGTACAATGTACTAAAGTAAAATATGGCTGGTATTTTTCGGAGCAGTATGGGCGTAAAATAAAAAGATTTCTTGCGAGGTATGCTTGTGTGTGTTGTTTAGTTAGTCGTGTTTCATTTTTTTTCTAATGCACCAATTACGTTTAATTGTAGTTTAACTTCTGAATGTATTTTCTCGCACTTTTCAAATCATTTCCTTTTTATCATAACCTTTGATTAACTGTTCATTCCATAATGGTTGTATTCGTCTTTTTGCTTAACCTTCCAATTTATTTTACTCATTTTTTTTTTCTCGTTAACTTTTTTTCTTAAGCTCAATTTTTTTACCTGTTGTGCGTATTGGTTGCTTTGCGTTTTAATTAGACAGTACTCTGCTCTAGTTTTTAATTAGATTCACTTGTATCCGGTTACCACTCAGACACTCTTTAGGGACTTTTACTCACCTTTTTTTGCAATCTGCGCCTCAAGATTCTTCCGCGTATTCTGTTAGTCAGATTAGTTCAGTTTTTTTTTCACTTGTCATTTTTTTGGGGGTCGTCCGCGCTTTTATTTTTGCTTTTGATTCTAAAATTGTATTTAACTTAGCTTCAATTATTTTGATTATTGAAATGTTAACCTTTTTTTAATTGACTTCTGATCCCTTTATTCTCGGGGTCGAGAATTTTTTTGGAGGCCGTTAATGTCGTGGAGCACGACGCGAGGTCCCCTCCCTTTTATATTTTCGCGCCTTATGCGCCCAGCGTGGACGAGCCCTATTAGTTTAGCTAGGCACCCCTGTTCTGAGGCTAGTTCGATGGCTGGCGAGTGCATCTCGGGGAGGGCTGATAAGGCCAGGGCGGCTCTGCAGCCCTGGGCCGAGCCGGTCTCTCCCGGGGCGCTGTATCGTCAGTCGTCGGCAAGCTCCAGCCTGGGTCAGATCACCGTTTGCTCCGTATCACAGCCAAGGTAGGCCTACTCATCTGTACAGAGTGTCTGTGTGAACCGATAGGGCTAACCTTGAATAAACCTGTGGTACCGTACTCATCTCTATAATTCCACACTGAACCACCATATTCCTTAAAGTTACTGAGGTAGATTGGGCTACCAAAACAGCTGCTGCTGCTGCTGCTGCTGCTGCTGCTGCTGCTGCTGCTGCTGCTGCTGCTGCTGCTGCTGCTGCTGCTGCTGCTGCTGCTGCTGCTGCTGCTTGCGAGTCTCGTTGTGCGCAGCAGGTCCGGTCCCATCCCCGGGCCTGAGGGGCCTGAGTAGTTTTATATTGGGCGGGGCGGGGGGCGGTGTGCAGCGCGGAGCTGAGGGGCGTATCAGATGAAGCTGGCTCTGTCAAAGCGATCGGGAGGACCGGCGGCGGTGGCATCAGTCGGGGCTAGCCCAAAGAGGCGGGTCCGCCGGGACGAGCAGCGCAACGGCAGAGACAGAGCCTCCCCCGTCAGGGGCGGGACCAGAGAAAGATGGAAGGGTCGAGGAGGCACCCCCACGCCCACTGCGGACCCCCCCCCCCCTCAAAAAAATCTTAGCAAACCGACTATTGACCGGGCAATTTGTTCCACAAATCGCAACAGCTCGCCTATTGGACGAAGGCCAAAAAAAGCGTGGTACACCGGAAACCCAAGTTGGTAAATGTCGCACACTTTTAGGTGTGGTTTAGGGTTGGCGGGGCAGTTTCGCCGGAGGACGGCTATGAATTCGCGCCATCGCACGCGCTTCTGTTTCATTACGTACACCCCATCCATTTGTTCGGCTATTCAATTTTGAAGCAACAGCAGCAGCAGCAAAGGAAGCAGCAGCTGGCCACCATGAAACATTCACCTCATATTTACCCGCGGCTTGAGGAGGGGCCGCGGAAGAAGCAGGCGGTCCCGCCCGGCGATTCCCTCCTTTTGCACTTATTGAGTTCCACACATATTGAATACCGCCATGCATTATTGCAGTGTGTCGTAAACTTTTATATTTTGGAGTATTCCGTACGCACTTTGTTCTCCCTCCCTCCCTCCCTCCCTCCCTCCCTCCCTCCTTCCTTCCTTCCTTGGTAGAGGCAGTATAGTGTATCCGAGCCGGGCCTGGCCGGGCCGCCGCACCCAATGTCGTCTGTGTCTCGTTGGCGGAGCGGAGCGCGGTGGGGCCCCGCGCGTGTCCGCAATTGGGCGCACAATCACCAGCACCGCGCCACAGCACAGCCGCAGCTCGGGGACTGTCTGCGTCCATGTCCACCTCTACCGCCCAAGCCCACACCACACCACACGGCGGTCTTGGAGTTGAATGGATGGCCTACCTGCTGGGCGCGCCCGGCCCAGAGCTGGCGCTTGCTGCCGGCAATGTGGTTTCATGTCATTCGTAAACCGGGTGGGGGTGGG